TCAGTTTCTGCTGTGATTGGTTGTCCTGTGGTCACATGACCAAGCAGTGATGTCACAGCTGTGACAACAACTCCACCTTCTACAAAGACACAAGAGAGCGAGGAGAAGAAAAAGCAAAAGAAGAGGACGAAGGAAACACCTCAGACAGACCGCGGCTCAGAGGTCAGAGGTCGCAGCCATGACTGATGTGTTATATGTGAACAGGCTGCTACTGTAATCTGATTACAGACTACGTTCAGATGATCAAACTGGGAACAAAACAGCTGAGCTCAAACGTGTGAAGATGTTTGTGTCGTCTGTTTCATGCAACCGTACGATTATGATCCCGACACAGTAACACACTCGACCACATCCACACTAAACTCTGCAGTACCACACACCACCACCTCTACTTCCTGTTTACTGTCCCTCCAAAATAAATCCTAACTCAGGCTGGACTCTGAGCTGATTTGCTGTCTCTCCGTGTGAGCGAGATATGAAATCAGTGAAATGAGACTGAAGCACAGATTTCATTATTGTTGGCAGATTTAAAGATTATCTGACCTTCCCAGTGAGGAGGTGGAGCTTCGATTTCCCGTCGAGTAACAGCGGCGAGGCTTCGGGATGGGAGGAGTAGACATCTGCTGGACAGGAAGAGCCGTTAGTGATCTGATCATTGTGATTGGTTTTCATTCAGAAGCTGATCAGAGGAGTTTTTAACAATCCTCGTTTGGATGGAGGCAATTATCTTTGACCTGAACGTGGAGCCTCCGACCTCACGTTTCACTCTGAAGATGAAACTAGTGAGATCACAGCGGGCACGTCACAAGTTTGACAGGCGGCGCGCTCCAGTGAAGGGAACACGGCGAGCAGCACGATGCTCGCCGAGAACGAAGAGGAAAGCTTTCATTACAAACATGAAACACTCCCATGATTCCCTCTGCTCAGCAGCTCAGAACATGTTTTAATGACACAAGCCAGTCACATGACCCGGTGTAGCGCCAGGTCAGACAGCATCAGTGATTAGAGATGTCACAGTCAGAGTGCTCAAATCCAGCTGTGAGCGCACAGCTGTGTGACGCCTTCAGAGGAAACAGGGAGAGTCTGACTTCAGGACGAGCTCCTCCTCAGGAGGAACGCAGAGAGGAACTTCAGTTTCACAGTAAAACGTCTGCATTTAAACACAACAAAGCCGAGCTCGTCGACAAACCTCGGTGTAAGTCAGAGTGAAACACACAGTTTCTTTGACTCTCTGCTGATCTGTTCATGGACACTACAGGACACTCACACACACAGAGCAGTTGTTACCTTGGCGTCCGTCAGCTCCTCTGGATCGGGACCTCAGTCACCTGCGTGCCTGCTTACCTGTCTGAGCTGTGAGCGTGTGCTGTGTGTGCGTGACGTCATCGAGCTGCAGCTCCACCTGCACTCATAAACACAGAGCGTTAAATCCACCCTGTGCGTGTGCGTGTTTAGGGCGGCGTTCTCAGTGCGACACGTTACATGAACACTTGGTGTGTATGAACAGACGTGTGGCCTCCTGATGTGATCAACTTTTACAGGCCGCTGGAGCCTCGGTGCAGCCTGAGCACGACTCCGTGTCACACACAGGTGAGAACAGGTGAGGCTCCTTTAAGTCAGCTGATCCAACTCTGACAGTTTTACAGTGAAGTCTCACCAGTCAGACCGGCACAGGTGTGGCTCACCTGTGTGTGTGTGTGAGAGACTCTTCTTCGTTGGTTTAAACAAGTTGAGCCTCAGGTGTGTGTGTGAAGGAGGACAGAGAGGTAAACTGAGCAGCTCAGTGTGTGAGGAATGTCTTTGACCTCTGACCTCCTGAGAGCTCCACCTGCTGGCTGCTCTGCAGCATTACCAACAGGTAAATCTCCATGGTAACAGCTTCTGTATGAATCATTAATAACACAAATTTTATGCACAACTTTATTCCTTCATTTTTTTGTGGTGGGTGAACTCAGTGAGGTGATCACCAGTGTGACCTCTGACCCCGACCACCACAGATCTTGGTTCGCTGGCACAGTTTGTTAAACCAGTCACCACTAATGGGATTTCAAATGGAGACAGATCTTAAACTTGAACGCCAGCTCAGAGCTGTAGTAAGATCTCGCTTTTTTCTTTTGAGGCAATTAGCCAAAACAAATCTTATCAAAGCAGCTTTCTGAGACAGTAGTGCACGCCTTTGTTACTGGGTTACTGCAACGCACTTTGTTGTGGGGTTAGTGCAGCACGTCTTTTAACAGGAACAAACAGTCTGAGCACATTTTAATTTCACTCCACTGGCTGTCTGTACAATTTAGGATCGTTTTTAAAGTTCTTTTATTTGTTTTTAAATCTCTTAATGCCCATTAATGCTCCTTAGGTCCAGTCACCAGCTGCTCAAGCTACCAAAAGCTAAGTTTAAATTAGGAATAAATTTAGAGGTAGCTGCTCCAACGTGTGGAACGACCTGCCCGTGCATGTTAGGCAGGCCTCTTCTCTTTCTGAGGTGCAAACATATTTATTGGCTGAAGCCTTTGGCACTCTTTCAGGGGCTGAATCAGTTTGTTTTAACATGTTTGATTTTATTTATCCATGTATTTAATTTTTGTTGTTTATGCCTTTGTATATGTACAGCACTCTGTGAACCCTGGTTTTATGTTAAAGTCCTTTATAAATAAAGCTGGTATGGTAGTTTCAGCTGTAACCATTGTACAGGTTTCTACTGGGAGCACTGGTGTGGATGTGACCGTGACATTTGTTTTTTCTCCTTTTTAAAAATGTTTATTTGTGCAGATGAACTCCATCGAGCACTGACAGTAGTCTGTTAGCATCAGGCAACAATAGGCAGGTGGTCAAACAGGTAAAACAAACATGCATGAGCTATTTCATCAGAAACAACACGACAACCATTAAACTGCAAATATGTACGTTAGCTTAAACAGCCGACAAATGACTGCAGTGTAGTAGAGAATACAACTACACGGTATTATTAGCAGTGACATTACACAGACTGCTTTCCAGCGCACACGTCACCTTCCACCTGTTAGGATGCCTGGGTCGTTGACCCAGGGTTTTTGAGTTTATTATATTATTTATAATTTCTAGTCTTTGGGTTTTTGCCTTATGGTTTGTCTCTGTGTAATCCTTAGTTGCTGTCTCCCCTGTCTGCTATATCCCCGTGTCCAGTCGGTGTCTGCCCTGGTCCTACGTCTCTGTTCCCTCTGTAGTGCCTGCATGTGAGTCTGTGTCTTTGTTCAGTCTGTGTTATGTGTTTCCTGTTTTACTTTGAAGGTCTCTGTCTTATGTGAATGTGTTCAGTTTACGCTTCCTTGTCTCGTCAGTTCTGATTTCTCCCAGCTGTGCCCTCCTTCTGTCTCATTCCCCTCGTTACTTCCCAGCGTATTTAAACGCTGTGTTTCTGAGTCAGTGTCGCGTCGTCCCTCATGCTGTGTGGATCGCTCTGTGTCTCACTGTGAGTTTTGTTTATGAGTTTCCAGTTTAGTTTAGTTTGCTGTTTTATGGCTTTCCCCTGCCAGCAAATAAAGCTGAGTTTTTTTGTGTTTAAACCTCATGCCTGAGTGCCTGCATTTTGGGTCCAACTCCTGCCTGCCACACAGCGACTCATGACACAACCTGCCCACTACAGTCAAACATACATCGTTGCACCAGAGTGCTTCCACTCCTTAAAACCAACACCTGCTAAGTTATTAACTTCAGCCAGCAGAAGCAGCAAAGTTTTAACTTCGGGGCGACACAGTGGCTCAAGAGTTCGTCTTGTAATTGGAAGGTTGCCGGTTCGAGCCCCGGCTTGGACAGTCTCAGTCGTTGTGTCCTTGGGCAAGACACTTCATCCGTTGCCTACTGGTGGTGGTCAGAGGGCCCGGTGGCGCCAGTGTCCGGCAGCCTCGCCTCTGTCAGTGCGCCCCAGGGTGGCTGTGGCTACAATGTAGCTGCCATCACCAGTGTGTGGATGACTGGATGTGTAAAGCGACGAGTAAAGCGCTATACAGATACAGGCCATTTACCATTCATTGCTTTGTTTCACACAGGAGGCAGAATTATACCCGAGAGTCCGGTACTTCTGATTGAGGCCTTGTTTTGTGTAGATGCATCTATAATTGTTACTCCTGCACAGCTGCTGTGGAGCACCATAACTTTGTTCTACGTGTCCAGTGACAAGAAAGGGCTGTTCTATTCTAGAATAATTTTATCCGAGCTGAGAGTCTTCAGCCAACTGTTGTTTGTAACCGGTGACCTTTGACCCCATATATTAAACCACACCCATCATCTTTAAATACTCACTGTGGATTTACTACTGTACCTGAAATGCTGCAGTCGACGCTCCCTGATGGCAACATCCTCTTTCAGACATGCTCTCAGGAAGTTTCAGGTGTTCACCAAGTGCTGAAGAACAGGTGAGTGACCTGACAGGTAAGAGGAGGAGGAGGAGGAGGAGGATAACCTTCACAATGAAAGACTGAGGCTTGACAGTTTCACGTATTTAATGTTGAGGTGTCGTTTACAGCAGAAACACACACAATGTCCTGTCACAGCAGGACATTTACCGAGTCGGATTTAATCTGGGGTCGACTTCAAACTTCCTGATTAAACCTGAACTTCAAACATAAAAATCACCGGTATTTATTCAGGTTCCATACATACAGCAAAAACAATGTCCATATTAAACTAACAGAGACCAGGTTAAACTAAAGGAGTCCAGATTAACCTAACAGAGACCAGATTAAACTAAAGGAGTCCAGATTAACCTAACAGAGACCAGATTAAACTAAAGGAGTCCAGATTAACCTAACAGAGACCAGGTTAAACTAAAGGAGTCCATATTAAACTAACAGAGACCAGATTAAACTAAAGGAGTCCATATTAAACTAACAGAGACCAGATTAAACTAAAGGAGTCCAGGTTAACCTAACAGCGTCTGGACTAACCCAATAAATTCCAGATTAGAGTGAAGATTGGAGGTGGTGATATAATATGTAACATTTTGTTGTCAGAATACACTGAAGTGTAGTGTGAATCTTACAGAGCACACTCAGCTTGTTCACACTGATATAAATTGAATCTATGCAAACACTGACACAAGACATGAACAATTAGGGATTAACAACACTCAACCCAGAACATTATTCTGACTGTAATCTGGTAACGTTCTGAGTATAATCTGGTGCAGGACTATGACCTGGTAATACTATCAGCAGTGCAGAGCTTGCAGACAGGATTTGGGGCACAAAGACTAAATAATCTGTACATCCGGCCCGCTGCTAATCCAGTCGTCTCAGTGGAAGACGGTCTGTCTCCAGCGTTTGTCGGGCGTGAACGGCCACAGACAGTCGATAATGGCGGAGGTGAAAGGTCGCGGTTCCACGCTCAGGTTCAGCAGCTCCAGACGACAACAGTTTAACTGACTGTTGATTGGACGAAGAGCCGACGCCGCCGGCTGCTCGGTCAGCTGCAAGAACACAGACAGGGTCGGGACCACAGGTGATACCGTTTGTTTATAATGAGTGCAAAGTCCTGCTGATTATGAAAAGATTCAAAACGAGCCGCGCACCATGAAGCAGCTAACCTCAGGTTAACTCTGGCTTTCTGGACTACAAAGGTGGATCACTCTTACTGGGGTAAATCGCCATGGTAACCTATGCTATGAGCCAAACCTGCTCTGAAGATTAGAGATTATCAGGTATGACATCAACACCTATAGACCAATCAGATCCTCAGAAAACAGCATCGCCATTCCTGAAGCCCCTCAGAGCTCTGTGGGGAAAGGGGCGGGGTCTGTGTTTCCCTGATGAGCAGTAATGACAATAATAATAATAATAACCATAATAATATCAATAAAACTTTATCAGCTTTATTGCTCTATAAGCATCAGTGACACACCTGCGCTGTACCTGCTGACCTCAGATCAGATTCGTGGACCGAGCCGATGTCTGAATCCTGTCTGTAAATGTGATCTTTACTTTAATGGTCAGGAGGTCAGAGTGTAAACTTTTCTCTGATTGGCCACTTTCAGGACGATGTCCTGGAAACCGTGAAGGAAGCGCAGCTGCCGTTCCAGCAGCTCAGACTGAACCACGATGTGTTCACGTGCTGATGCACCGCTGTTGTCTGTCGCTCTGCTGCAAACACTCAGCAGGTGACACTCACCTCAGGTGCTTTCAACCCCGCCTCCTTTCTTTGTGGGTGCAATTTAAGCAAGTTAAGCTGATTGATAATCAGCCAATCGGCATCATGTCAGGGTGAACCCAGACAACAGATCGACACCTCAGGTGTGCAGGGCCTCAGGTCATAACTTTACATCCTTACACAGGCAGGCTGGTTAAACTGGCTTTACTTCATCTCCATTTAAGGCAGCTGACCAATCAGAGCCCTGGCTGCTGTTCGTGGTCAGCTGGTTGTTGGCTGCTACGACCTCGAGCACATTAAACTTTGGTGACAAGCTGCAGAGCTGTGGTTGGGCTAAAACATACTGAGCGACAGACAAACACGTCACTGCTTTACAGCCTGAGCTGTGTCAGGTATGAGGCGGCTCAGGTGTGGGACCACTTACAGGTATGAGGCGGCTCAGGTGTGGGACCACTTACAGGTATGAGGCGGCTCTGGTGTGTGACCACTTACAGGTATGAGGCGGCTCAGGTGTGTGGCCACTTACAGGTATGAGGTGGCCGGACGGCAGGTTGAAGGCCTGAGCGATGGCGACCGCCATTTCATATTTAGTCATCTGCTCTTTCCCAGAGAAGTGAAAGATTCCTCTGATGGACGGGTCCTGACGGAAAAGCAGACGGCGGTGAGACGGGCAGAGCGAAGTCCACCTGATGCTCACCTGTCTCTCTGACGCTCACCTGTCGTGCTCTCTCAGACAGCTTCCTGCAGACGGCAGCGACGTCTCGGGCGTCAGTGGGGAATCTCTGCAAGACGTGATCCAGCGTGCAGCTCTCCTCTGACGCCTCCTGAACCTTCAGGTACAACGACGTCACCACGCTCTCCGTCACCGACTCCACCTCCCCAAACAGAACGGGCACCCGCAGTACCACCGCACCTGGCAGGGTCACGGGTCAAACAGGTGACTGAGGGGCAGGCGAGAGACAGAAGACTCAGACAGGTGACTGAGACGTACCTGGACAGTGGCGCAGCGTCTCCCTCTCCCCCTCCAGTTTGCTCCGCCCATAAACGTTGAGCGGGTTTGGACTGTCGTCCTCACCGTACGGAGGATTCCTGCCGTCAAACACGTAGTCGGTGCTGATGTAGAGGAAGAGCGCCCCGCAGGTGGCTGCAGACACAGACGTTACCTGTTACGGAGGCGCGCTCACACAGAGCTGGACTGAAATCAAGGTGCGTGATGTGTGAGGGGGCGGGGCTCTGATGCGCACTACAGGAGCTCCACCCCCAAACCTTCTCGTGCCCCCACCTGTGTCAGGCCAAAGAATATCTGGTGATGGTGTGGTGGCGTCACTGACCTGCCTCCTTGGCGAGAGTGCTCGTGGCGTGCACGTTCAGATTAACAGCTGCTTCCGTGTGTCTCTCCATAACATCTGGACGCCTCTCAGCCGCACAGTGGACGATCACATCAGGCTGAAACACACATTCAAAACAACTTTATTTAGTGACCATCAGCTTTACAGTAATGACGAGAGATGGACCGATCGATATTACGTATCAGTATCGGTCTGATACTGACCTAAATCACTGGATCGGATATCGGAGAGAAATAAAAAATGTAATCCGATCCATTAAATATCAAAAAAGCACCTCACAAAAC